AGGGAAACTGAGGCTCGGGGTGGAGGGAGAAGCCCCGCCTGGCTCATTTTAGGCTTTGTCCCCCCCCCCCCCCCCGGGGCGGGCAGCTAAAACAACCCCCATCTGAAATGCATTTTAGTTGACTTTAATTGTCATTGCACGCGTACGACCAAATTCAATGCCGTCTTCAGTGCGCATTATGACTATGAAAATAAACACGAACACGCATCCTTCACATTCTAGAGAATTGAATTTATAAAAAAAACACGGATATTGCATTCATATTGCACTATACAGTAGAATTCAGTAGAGCTACTGTCCTGGGATAGAAGCTGTTTTTCAGCCTGTTTGTCCTTGTTTTTATTGTCCTGTACCGTCTGCCAGATGGTAATAGTTAAAAAAAAAAAGGTTTCCCAGGATGAGATGGATCTTTGAGGATGTTTTGAACTTTCTTAAGTCAGCGGGAGCTATAAAGCTCTTCCAAAGAGGGGAGAGGGCAACCAGTGCTCCTCTGGGCAATGACGTTCACCCTCTGGAGCGCTGTCCTATCTGCCCCTGTGCAATTGGCAAACCCTACACAGGTGCAGCAAGTTAAGATACTCTCTCTGGTGCAGCGCTAGAAGGTCACCAGCACTTTTTCACTCAGTTGCTTCCTGAGAAGTCTCAAGTAGTATAATCTTTGCTGGGCCCTTTTGACCAGGGCTGCAATGCGAGCACCCCAGGTCAGGTCCTCTTTTAGGGTAACGCCCAGAAACTTAAAACTGGTCTCTTGCCCCACTCAGTCTCCATGGATAAGCGGGACTGGATGTCTGAGCTGTTCCTTCTGTAGTCCACTTTCAGCTCCTTGGTCTTATCGGTGTTGAGGACCAAGTTATTGTCTCCACACCACGAAAGCAACTGGTCCACCTCATCTCGGTAGGCAGACGGATCCCCCTCCTCAGAGATGAGTCCCACCACTGTTGTATATCCTCTGCAAATTTAGTAATAATATTACTAGCATGAGCGGGAATGGAGTGAGTGGGGGGAAGTGCAGGAGAAGACCCGGCCTTGGTGGTCCTTCCTCTTCCCTTCTCCTCTCCTTCCAGGTGGACATGTCCACCCTTGCCACTCAGGCGGGGTCTATCCTGAACAACTTGGTGCTGAGAGCTCAGGAGCTGGTGCTGAACCTCCACGCCCTCCAAATGGATCGGCAAGAATTCGTCACCTTGAAGTTCCTGATTCTCTTTAGCCTCGGTAAGCGGCGGGTCGGGGCGAGGAGGAAGGGAGGGGAGGGGGAGAGAGGGGAGGGCAGGCTGGGGACCCCGCGACGGGAACGGCGGAGTCCAAATGGAAAAACTTCTGCAGAACCAGTGGTGGGATTCAAATTTTTTTTTAGTACCAGTTCTGTGGGCGTGGCTTGGTGGGCGTGGCAAGGGAAGGATATACTGCAAAATCCCCCTTCCCTCTCCACCCCACTGACCTGCTTTCCAGCTCCGTTCTCCTGGGCAGGGCAACCCAAGGAGACCCAGCCGCTCAGCTGGGACTCGATGGGAGGCAGAGAAGAGACGGGGTTGGCGGGGCCAGTCAGAGGTAGGATGGGCTGGTTCTCCGAACGACTCAAAATTTCCGCTACCGGTTCTGCAGAACCGGTCAGAACCTGCTGAGTACCATCTCTGTTCAGAAACCCTGGGAAGGAACGATGGGTTAAGAGTCCTGTCCCATAGCTGTCCATGGGCTCATATGAGCCATGGTGGCACAGTGGTCAGAATGCAGTACTGCAGGCTACTTCTCCCGACTGCCAGCTGCCTGCAATTTGGCAGTTCAAATCCCACCAGGCTCAAGGTTCATTCAGCCTTCCATCCTTCCAAGGTGGGTCAAATGAGGACCCAGATTGTTGAGGGCGATGGGCTGACTCTGTAAACTGCTTACAACATTGGGCTGTACAGCCTTGGGAAGCAGTATATAAGTCTAAGTGCTATTGCTATTGATCTATCTCTATGTCAGCCTGTCTGTCTGTCTTTCTATCTGTCTATCTATATCTATCACTATGTCCATCCGTCTGTCCGTCCATCCATCCATCCATCCACCCACCCATCCATCCTATATTTATCTAAGAGCCGTGGTGGTACAACGCTTAGAATGCTGTATCGCAGACTAACTCTGCCCATTGCCTTCCATCCTTCCGAGGTGAGTCAAATGAGGAGCCTGAGTGTTCGGGCCAAATAGGCTGACTCTGTAAACTGCTCAAAGAGGACTGTAAAGTCTTAAAGCTGTGAAGTTTGAAGACCCCTGATCTATCACCTATCATCTGTCTGTCTGTCTATCTATCTATCTATCTATCTATCTATCTATCTATCTATCTATCTATCTATCTATCTATCCATCCATCTATCTATCTTTCTCTCTCCATACCTACCTACCTACCAACCAATATATCTATCTATCATCCACCTATCATCTATCTATGTATCTACGTATCTATCTATCATCCATCTAACATCTATCACAAGCGTCTTCAAACTTGGCAAGTTTAAGACTGGTGGACTTCAACTCCCAGAATTCCTGAGCTAACATGACTGGACGAGGAATTCTGGGAGTTGAAGTCCACCAGTCTTAAAGCCGTCAAGTTTGAAGACCCCTGTCCTAGATGTTCATGTCAACATCTCCTAGATGTTGTGAACGTGTCCAGCTGGTCCGTAAGGTCAACCTCTTGACCTGATCCAGCCTGAAGTCCATCTTAACATCCTTCCATTCTCCAATGAAGCATCAGATCAACAAAGTTGGAAGGGACCCTTGGGGTCATCTAGTCAAAGTTTGAAGACCCTACACCATTTCTGACAGATGGCAGTCTTGAAAGCCTCCAGGGATGAAGCTCCCACAACCTCTGAAGGCAACTACTGTTCCATGGGTTGATGGTTCTCCCTGTTGGGAAATTCCTCCTTATTTCCAGGTTGAATCTCTCCTTGGTCAGTTTCCATCCATTTTTCCCTGTCTGGCCTTCAGGTGCTTTAGAAAATAGCTTGACCCCTTCCTCCTCCTCTCTGTGGCAGCCCCTCAAATCTTGGAAGGCTGCTCTCCTGTCTCCCCTGGTCCTTCTCTTCCCTAGACTAGCCAGGCCCAGTTCCTGCAATCATTCTTCATATGTTTTAGCCTTCAGTCCCCTCGTCATCCCGGTTGCTCTTCTCTGCGCTCTTTCTACAGTCTCAACCTCCATCTTTTCCACCCCGGAGAACTACCGTTTCCCTGCATGTCCGCACTGCGTTTCAAATGACCTCGTCCTAGAGCTGAAGACAAAACGGTGACCCTTACCTCCCTCCTTCCCCCCCCCTTGGTCCTGTATTCGAGTCTTAGCCGTCAGGGCCTGGCTTGGCCTTCTGCCTTTCTTGGGGCTCAGCTGCACCCAAGCCCCCCCCTCCCCCCCTCTATTATGCGTCCCCCGGCTGTAATTACGCTTTGCCAGAGAATTTTCCACCCTATCCACCCTCCTCTCCCCGTGGCACAATCCGTGTGCCTCCCTACACACATGTGCGCAAGAGGCTAGCCATTTTGAGTGGCAAATAGATTTCTCCTTTCCTTTCTTTCTTTCTCTTTCTCTCTCTCTCTCTCTCTCTTTTCTCTTCTTCTCCTTCCCCTTCCTGAATAGCTCAAGAGGTTTAATTAAAATTAGGGGCTTCTCCAAATGGCAATATTTATGAGGATGGCACAGGTTAGCTTTGTTCCCCAGAAGGGTTTAATAGAGCCTTAATGGATTGACCTACCCCGCATCCCCCCATCGGGGCGGCTGACTTCCATTCTCCCGGCAGCCACTCCAAATGGGCGGCGGAGGTGGGGGGGTGGAGGGGGGGGGCCCCGAGAGCGAGAAAACAGCTTTTTTTATTGCGGGCCGCATTCCCATAAGCGATGGCAATTTATCCGAAGCTTCGGGCAAACAAAGGGAACTGTGAATGAGAAGAACACTTGAGCGCATAGAAATCGGTCTCCTGCCCAAGCCTCCCCTCCCTCCCTCGCCTTTTGTCGCAGGACGAAATCTTCGTTCGTTCGTCTTCGTCACCGCCACGAGGGGGTGGGGGCCCTCTCCAAACCGGGGGGGGGGGGAGAACTGGGAATGGGAGAAATGGCATTCTTTATGTTCCCTCTCTCTCTCTCTCTCATGAAAAGATTATTCAAATATTCAATTAAACTGTGAATAGGGTGCTTTCTCCAAACCAGGTGAGTTCATCACCACGAACCTGCCATTGTCACACCCAGCGCAGGGGAGACAGAGACAGAGAGAGAGAGAGAGAGAGAGAGAGAGAGTTGACATTTAGCAAAGATGCCTACTGTCTGGTGGTGATGGGCAACGGGAAGGAGAGTTGTTTGTTTTGACACACACACACACGGACGCACACACGCACACCCTTGTTGCACTCTATTATTCCCCCCCCTTCTCCTCCTCCTTCCATGCAAAAATTGCGGTCGCGCACGAGACGGGAAGGGCAGGGCGTGTCCCGCTGCCCGTTCTGGAATCGAGTTGGAGGTGGCGTGGTTTGGTTTGGTCTGACCGTCCTCCGGTGTGGACCTCGGAAAAGCCAGAGATCCCCGTTTCGGGGCTGGTGTGGTGCAGCTCCCGGAGACACGACATTAATTTCCCAGGAATTAATAAGATTGCAATACCGATAAAAGGAGAATATTTGTAGCTCGGGGTTGCAATGTCTCCGGTGTTCTCTGAGCTGGGTGGTTTTCTCACAGACGTTTCATGACCCGACTAGGTAACATCATCCGTGCTGCAAAGATGTGAGTTTTGCTCGTTCTCTCTCTCTCTCTCTCTCTCTCCCCCCACCTTCTAGCCCTGATGATGTTACCTAGTTGGGTCATAAAACGGCTGCAAGAAAACCACCCAGCTCACAGCATCAACATTGCAAAATAATTTCCCCATCCTTTCAGAGAAATTCAACCTTTGCAAGGGCTCAAGAGTTCATATCCACACCAACCAGCACAGAACTGAAATATTTCTCAACCTCATACACTTCAAGAGGCGTGGCCTTCAATTCCCAGAATTCCCAAGTCCAACACGTTTTCCTGCTCCCAGAATTCTAACGGCAGGCTGGGGAATTCTGGGAGTTGAAGTCCACGCATGGTCGTCACGATGTCGAGACTCTAGAAAGAGCGCAGAGAAGAGCAACAAAGAGGATTAGGGGACAGGAGGCGAAAACCTATGAAGGGTAGGATTTGAGGAACTGGATTTGGCTGGTCTAAAGAAAAGAAGAATTGGGAGTGACATGATAGCAGCCTTCCAATATCTCAAGGGGCTGCCCCAAAGAAGAGGGGGTCAAGCTATTCTCCAAAGCACCAGAAGGCAGGACAAGAAGCCACGGATGGAAACTCATCAAGGAGAGAAGCAACTTAGAACAAAGGAGGAATTTCCTGACAGTGAGAACAATTCACCAGTGGAACTCCTTGCCTCCAGAAGTTGTAAGTGCTCCAATGCTGGGAGTTTGTAAGAAGAGATTGGCTAACCATTTGTCTGAAGTGGTGTAAGATTTCCTGCCTAGGCGGGGGGTTGGACTAGAAGATCTCCAAGGTCCCATACAACATTGTTATTCTATTCTATTCCCCCTGAAGAGAGAAATGGTGCTCCAATCAAGAGCTCACAGATAATCAGAGTTGGAAGGGATCTTGTAGGTCATCTAGTCCAACCCCCGACTAAACAGGTGACCCTACATCATTTCTGACAGATGGCAGCCTCATCTCTTCTTGAAAGCCTCCAGCGATGAAGCTCCCACGACTTCCGAAGGCAGCTTCTGTTCCGTGGATGGATTGTTCTCACTGACAGAAAGTTTCTCCTGATTTCCAGGTTGAATCTCTCCTCGTTCACCCATTTCCACCCATTATCCCTCGCCTGGCCTTTGGGTGCCTTAGAAAATAGAAAATTAGAATTTAGCTTGTATTAATGTTTGTTGCTAAATTTGGGTCATCTCAAAACAGGTGCCTGGGAAAGTCGGCCGAGCCAGATCAAACCAAATGAAAATAATAATAATTTTATCTGGGAACATCTATTTGATGCTCACTCTCTGCAATGCCCGAAACTGTGCAATAGGATCTTTTCCGACAACGACCGACCAAGAAATATGTCTTAATAGCGATGGGAATCGAACAAGCTGGTTTTTTACCAGGTGGCTAGCGCACCTGCCAGTTTACCTTGATGGCTTTCCTGCGACGGAGCCTCTGCTCTCCGTAAAGCCCCGTTGCCCACAATATACCCACGATGGCGCCGTCTGTGCCAGGGAGCAGGGATCATGGTTTCTATGCCGGCTGAGCTGCCTGACGGCTTTGTGGAGGCCAAGCAGATTAAAGACAAATCTCTCCGCCTGGGGTTTGGAGGCGAAGGCAATCCAGACAAGCGAGGGAAAGCTGCTTTGTTTACCTGCTGTGACATTTTCCCCTGCCGGAAAGCAGAGCCGGGAGGAACCTTAGAGGTCATCCTGTCCAACCTTTTGGACCTCAGGGATCACCAAACTCATAATTTTTAATCCCGCAGACCAGAGACCTTGGGGAAAGCCCCCCCCCCCAAAAAAAAGTCTGCAGGAAAATTCCCCACCCCGTTGTCCTTCCGATCAATCGTTCTTTATTTGGGATCGCAGGATACCGTCTCCAGTTCTGTTCTCGGGGGAAGAGAGAGGGAGAGACTTTTGGCTTCATGCAAGGAAAGCAGCAGAAGCCGCAGAAGTCTTTCTTTCTCTCCCCCAAACTCCGCCAGAAAGGAGTCTTTGTGAGACTTGTCGTGCCGGCGCAGCCTCTTGGGGCAGGAGGCCTTGAAGGGTCCCAAAGACTCATTTCTGGCGGAGTTTGGGGGAGAGAAAGAAAGAGTTTGGCTGCTTTCCTTGCGTGCAGCCAAAAGCAGAAGAAGAAAGAAGCGGAAAGAAGCAGCCCGGTGGCCAGGCCAGGCGCGTAGGGTGAGTAGGGCAAGTTCCCCCCCACTCCGCCCATTCCCTCCCCACCCCAATAACCTGCTTTCCAGCTCCATTCTCCTGTGCAGGGGAACCAAAGAAGACCCAGCCGATCAGCTGGGACTCAATGGGAGGCAGAGAAGAGATGGGGTTGGCGGGGCCAGTCAGAGGCGGGATTGGCCAATTCTCTGAATCACCCAAAATTGACGCTACCGGTTCTCCAGAACCGGTCTGAACTGGCTGAATCACCTCTCGATGGGCGAAAAGGCCGGGCTGACCCCCCACCCTTGGCCTGCTTTCTCCTTTTGGCTGCAGATGTGAAGTATGTGGAGAACTCCAGCCTGGTGAAGGAAGCCCAGGAAAAAGCCAACACGGCCCTGATGGAGTACACCATCGTCCATTATCCCCACGCCATGGACAAATTCCGGCACCTGCTGATCCAGTTGGCCGACATCCGGGCCCTGAGCATGCAAGCCGAAGAGTACCTGTACCATAAACACCTGGGCGGGGAGATCCCCTGCAACAACCTGCTGATAGAAATGCTGCACGCTAAGCGGACTTGAGGGCTTCTCTTTTGCCCCAGGAGACGGACGGACGGACAGATGGATGGAGGACGGGGTTGGGGGGGTTGGGGGGGGGGGGTGGGGGCAGGGGCGAGGTGGACAACCCCCCCTGCGTCCCTTCATTTGTTCCAGCATGCTGGAATCAGGCCAAGTTTCCACCCAGTCTTGTTTGTCCCAGATGCTGGGATGTTTGCAAAACCTTGAAAAAGCCCATTGGAGATTGCCTTGGAAGGCATCAGTGGGTGGATCCCAAACACAGGGATGAGTGTGTGTGTTGGGGGGGGGACAGAGAAAGCCCCCTCCCCTCTTGTTCTTTCTTTCCATGGCCTCTAGGTCCAGCTCCCCTCTGCGTCCCAGGAGCGGTTCAGATCCAAAAGCCTGCCGGGCGAAGCGGCTGGGGCAGTTTTCCGCCAAACTCCGATGCATTTTGCAAGGGAAAACGGGGGCACCTTCCACGCCTCAAACACTGGGAAGATGCTTTTTTTTGAGGGGGGGTGTGTGTTTCTCCGGAGATCTGAGCAACTTTGGGAAGGGGGGGGAGTGTACGGGAACATCCTCCGCCCCACCCCTTCTCGGTCTCACGGTGGGAAGCCAAGAACTTTGTCAAAAGTTTTTAACAGACTGACTTAAGTTTCATTTTCAGCTTAGTTCACCGTCTCCGGTACGGTGACTCAAGAAATGGGGAGGCTAACAAAGTCCTAACAAAGTTTGTCTCCTCTCTGGCGGCTTGTGAAGCGGAACCTCTTGAACACATGACATGGTTGACTGATTCTCTCTCTCTCTCTCTCTCTCTCTTTTCCTTTTCCTTCCCGTTTTTTCCTCGCTCCTAGCAATTTAATTTTATTGTCGCTCCATCCAGCCAAGCCTGCGAAGAGACCTGTTGCCTTCTTCCTTCTACCCCTCGTGGGGGTCCTAAACCCGTTTGTGTGTCTGTGTGTGTGTGAATTCATTTAATCAACAAATTTCTCAGTCAGAAGGACCCTTTTTTGGGGTGGGGGAGGGGTGGGGGGAGCCCTGGGGAAAAAAAACAACAACCCCGATCTGGACCGTTAAACCCACCATCCCGTTCGAGTGGAGGTTCTCTCTGGCGTCCTGCAAGTTCTTAAGCCTTTCCTTCAAGACCCATCCAGCTTGCAAGAAATAGCCTAAGCCAGATTCCTGAATTGACTTGCTCGTAGAGATACTCTGTGTGTGTGTGTGTGTGTGTGTGTGCGTGTGTGTGTGCGCGCTTTTCCTCTGAGTGTGCGTCTGTTAAAAGTATTTCTCAAAGTCAGATTCCTGTTGGACCTGATTCGTGCGGGACAAACCTCTTCCTGTTTTCTTTTCTTGTCTGCTAAAATGGGGGAAGAAGGCCCATTGGGTTACTTTTGCAAAGAATATTTTTGGGGGGGGCCAGGGGGCAGCCTTTCCTTTAGAACCCCCAACCACGCGGCCCCATCGACTCTGGTGTTGCAGGGACGACAAAGCTGTCGTATTTAACGGCTTTGTTTCTTCAGCTTGGAAACCCAGGGGAAGGGACCCCCTTTTTGGAGGAATAGGGGGTGAAAACAATTTGGGGTTACAGTGGGCGCGTTTTCCTCTCCTTTGTCCTCATCTTCTCCCTCCTCACCCCAAACGAAAGCCCAATTCGGCCTCTTGGGAGCTGTTGAGTGCCTTCCCACCAGCGATGGGATTCAAAAACTTTGACGACTGGCTCTGTGGGCGTGGCTTGGTGGGTGTGGCTTTTTTTGCAGCCCCCACCCCCCCATTTTGGGGAGCTTCCTAGCCTCAGAGGTGCCTCGGGGGGGGGGCGTTTTTGCTCCCCTAAGGCTCCTCTGGGGCTCTGGAAGGCAAAAAATGGAGGCGAGGGCCCTGAGCTCCTCCCTCCATTTTTGGCCTTCCTGGGCCTCAGCAAAGGGGAATCCCAGCACAGCTGATCTATGCACAGCTGATTGTCGGGAGGGGCAAAAAAGAAAAGAAATACCTTAGGTGAATGTCAAGTGGGCAGGTAAGCAAGCACTGGGCGGGAGGGTGACCGGATTGGGGGCATGGCCAGCCAGAACTTAACTACCGGTCTGGAGACCCATGCCACATTCTTGCTACCGGTTCGCCCGATCCGGTGCGAACCGGCTGAATACCACCACTGCTTCTCACCAGGCCTCTGCCCCCCAATCCCTCCATGGTGCAATGGTGGTCTCCTCTCTCTCTCTCTCTCTCTCTCTCTCTGTCTCTGTCTCTCTGTGTGTGTGTCTCTGTCTCTCTCTCTCTCTCTCTGTGTCTGTCTCTGTCTCTGTCTGTCTGTCTGTCTGTCTGTCTGTCTCTCTGTCTCTGTCTCTCTCTGAGTCTCTTTCTCTCTCTCTCTCTCCCTCCCCCCCTCTCGTTTATTATCTCTCTGTGTTTTGACTCCAACGCCTTTTGCCTGCTTCGTATGCGACTTCGGGACAATCTTCTCTACCCCCCCCCCCCGTGGCGTCTGTGGATCTGCGTGTTGCGGTTGGAGAGAATCACGGGGCGCCTGCTCCTGGAAGTGACCCGGCGTTCTGGGTTTGCCGGTGGATCTGGGTGAGGAGGAGAGGCGCCTTCTTCTCGCCTCCCCAGCCCTTCCCAAACATGAAAAGTGCTCTTAAGTGTCCGTGCCACCCAATCACCCCCCCCTCCCCTCTTCCTGTCCTCCTTCCAGAAGTCTTTATGGAGTTCTACCTTGCCGAATTTCAAGACATTCCAATAAATTTTGTAATTCCGCTATGGTCCATGATCTCTGAACGGTTCTTTGCCTGTGAATGACGATGGGTTTGGATGCTTTCCTTGCAATCAAGAACATTGGAGGATGAGGCAGGAGGGACCCCCAAAAGACCCCTATGGGGTTGTAGAAAAAGTGCAGAGAAGAGCAACCAGGAGGATGAGGGGACTGGAGGCTCAAACAGACGAAGAACGGTTGCAGGAACTGGGCCTGGCTAGTCTGGGGAAGAGAAGGACCAGGGGAGACAGGAGAGCAGCCTTCCAAGATTTGAGGGGCTGCCCCAGAGAAGAGGAAGGGGGTCAAGCTATTTCCCAAAGCACCCGAAGGCCAGACAAGGAACAATGGATGGAAACTGACCAAGGAGAGATTCAACCTGGAAATAAGGAGGAATTTTCTGACGGGGAGAACCATCAACCAGTGGAACCAAAGTTGCCTTCGGAAGTTGTGGGAGCTTCATCCCTGGAGGCTTTCAAGAAGAGGCTGGACGGCCACCTGTCAGAAATGGGGTAGGGTCTCCTACTTGGGGGGAGGGGGGTTGGACTATTCTAGATGACCTACAAGGTCCCTTCCAACTCTGTTAATCTGAATCTGGCTCTGGATCCATCACGCCACCGATGGGGAGGAAGCCATAGAGAGAAAAGCCGCTAACATCCTTTCTTCCAGTCCACCCAAAACGGGGCCATGTTGGTTTCAAAAAGAAGAAAGAAAAAGAAAGAAGAGACAAGAAAGAAAATTCTGGGGAGTTGTCCTTTTTTCTTTCTAGCTTACAAAGCTGAGGTGTCCCTCCTCCTAGAGACCTTTTCCTGGAGAGCAAACACAGCTTGGAGCCTGGCCAGCCGTGATAAGACATCAGGCCCAACTCCAGCCGCAGGCGTGGGGCTGACTCGGAGGGGGTGGCCCGTTTCTCCCTGTGAAAAGGCTGGTGGGAGGGTGGGGTGGAAATCTCGTTGGAGAAGTTGGTGAGGAGGAGGAGGGAGGGAGGGAGGGAGGGAGGGAGAAAAGGAAGGAAGGAGAGGGAAGGAAGGAAAGAAGGAAGGAAAGGAAGGAAGGAAAAGATGGGGAAGGAGGAAGGAAGGGAAGGAAGGAAGAACAGTATTAATGAAAGAAGGGAGGGAGGGAAGGAAGGAAGGAAAAGATGAGGGAGGAAGGAAGGGAAGGACAGTATTAATGAAAGAGGGGAGGGAGGGAAGGAAGGAAGGAAGGAAAAGATGAGGGAGGGAGGAGAGAGTTAAGGAAGGAAAAAGGGAGGGAAGGAAGGAAGGAAAAGATGGGGAAGGAGGAAGGGAGGGAAGGAGAATGTTAATGAAAGAAAGGAGAAAGGAAGGAAGGAAGGAAAAGATGAGGGAGGGTGGGAAGAGAGAGTTAAGGGAAGAAGGGAGGAAAGGAAGGAAGGAAAAGATGGGAAGACAGGAAAAAAGGAAGGAAAAAAAACTAAGGAAGCCTAAACCCAGCCAAGAAACGGAGCTTCCAGAGGTTTTACCTTGCAAAATGTTCTTTCCCAGAGACCCCAAACCACTAACAACTGGAGAACAGTTTCCAGATGTTTGCTTCTAGGCATAGCTTCCCATTCAGACATCATCAGAACTCTCCTTTCGAAACAAAATCCTCAGCCGAGATGGTGGGCATGGCCAGGGCACAGTTCTGTTTTCCTCCTTAGGGCCTTTTAAAGACATATATTTAATTCAGATCTCAGCCGGCCGAACCGTTCAGATAGCAGCAGCTGTTCCTTGAGTTTGAGATTATTATTTTTTCCGCCGGATGTGTGAGACTAGGGTGCCCATGAGCCACAGCCAGCCTGGCCGAGGATATCAGGCCTGGGGGAGGGAGGATTCCTTAAAAAATATTCCTAAAACTTAGGATTCGAAAGCAAAGCCTCACCAGCAACTTGAGCTTTCTTGAGGCAAAGCCAACGGCTTCGTCGATCGAGCAGCTGACCCTTAAATTTAATTTGGGGGGATATTTTCCGCGCACCCCTTCCCCTGCCCACTTTTAAAATCTCATCACAACCACATGTCAAGATGTTACGTCTTGATGTCAACAGCAAGATTTAACTGAAACGGTCTCGAGTCCTCCTGCTTGAGCAGGGGGCTGGACTAGAGGACCTTTAAGGTCCCTTCGAGCTCATTCTATTCTAGCCTTATTTCCTCGAGAACAAAGAGGGAGAGACGAGGGGAAGAATTTCAAGTTTTTTATTTTGTTTCGGCCGAAGAATCCCTCCAAAGATACAGCTTGTTATCTCCCTGTTTGGGTTTCAAAATATGTAGCCGAATTTCGGCAACAAAAGTCTTTTTATCCCTGGTGGTGATTTTGTG